GGGGGGGGAGGAGGAAAAAAGAGAGAAAGAGAAGAAGCGTGAGGGAAGAGAGCTCGACGACAGGAACAACGGGCAACAAAGAGAGAGGAAAATAAAGGGCGCGTCTTTTTCTCATATTCCACATCCCATATGGGTAGCTCGTGAAAGTTGCAAGAGCATCCTTTCGAAATTCAAATTTATGGGAACGTCTCTTGTTTATTTCTTCCTTTCCGAAGCTATCTTCATTATTTCAATTGTTAAACGGACGAGTTTGGCGTCGAATTTCACTCTACGACTTTTGAAAGCTTCAATTAAAATTTACATTCGATTAACTATAGAAAACGAAATGTAAAAGTGTATTGTTCTTCTTGACAAATACCTAAATAGCAAATTAATAAAAAAATTCAGAGTTAATAATTTCTTCTTATTTTCAAAAGAAGCAGATATCGATCAATGCAAATTACGTCAAATCAGAATCTGTGAGCCATTTGTCCGAATTTGTTATATAAAAAAAAAAGACTCAGGGTCTTTGTGAGAATAGATGTCTGTCACACATATTGTTGTCTCGAACGTATTTTATACTATTTTATTGGAGGATGCTGAATTTTTATCCACCCCCTGTGCAAATAAAAGCCACGGAAAGCCATTCAGTATGGTCATTCTTTAAAATGCATGCCGCCCTTAAATCAAGACAACAATAATCGTGTCCACTGTGCGGACATGCTCGATAGGATTTGGACCTATTTCTTACCTTCTGCTTTCGATTCCATTTGTCTGCTGACTGTTAGATTTTGTGTAAAAGATACGTTTTAACTTTTTATCAATATATTATACTGTTAATAAATTTAGCTTCGAATTGACAATGAATTCGATATAAGTTTGACATAAATTTTACACGTTAATTTCGTGATATGAAATACTGTAAAATTGTTTAATTTAACTCAAAGTATTGCAGAGCATATATACAAATGAACTAATTGACCAAATTAAATAACAACTTCTAAATTGAAATCTTATTAGAAAATTAATAAAATTAAAAAAGTTTCGTTCGTAGAATTTTAAAAATTCATGAAAGTCATTATCAATTATAGATTAAACAACAAAACTATTACTGACGTATTTTGCAAGTTAGAAGTAACAATCGAAAAGGAGGAATAACGAGTATCGAGATGAACAACAACGTTGTCGTGGTGTGTATGCCAATTTACGCGTCGACGAGTGAATTCTGGTCGATCAACAGAGGGAGAAGGAGAGAAGCAGAGAGGAGAGGGACTTTGGAACGCCACAGACTGAAGTGGCGGAGGGTGAGAGGAGAGCCGAAAGAGAGGATACACCCCCCCGCGAACTCGAACATGAATTAAAGTTTTAATTTCTCTAAATCACTGTTCGCCCTCGAGCGCTTTCCACCAGACGGTCCGTTACTTATGGCCTTTGCCCTTTTTACCGCCTTCTTTTTTTCCCGTTCGCCTCGATCTTACCACCGTCCAACCCTCGCCAATCGGCAGAAATCGATATGCACTTATCCGATGACTCTTGAGACCCGAGGCCTCTCTCGTTTCTTTCCTTTTTCTCTTTCTCCTTTTTCTTTCCTTTTTTTTTTTTCTCCTCAATCGTACCTCTATACGGCCATAACAGCCAGAAATCGTGGAGATTTAAATTTCCATGGAACAACGATGTCGTTAACATCCCTTGGAAAGCACTCGAAACAAATTCAGTTTCAAATATCACTCCAAATAGATGAAAAATTTTTTTCGTTAATTTCCAATTGATTTAAATTTCAATTATTAGATAGGAAAGATTTCACATTTGGATTTCTTACAGGTTCAGACGAAAATGTTCGAATATTTACCATGAAACATTTTTATAAATATATTACGTGCATTATAAAATTTCTAAAATTTTGACGATCATTGAAATCAATTTTGGAATATAAAAGTTACAAGACATTCACTGCGAATATACAATTAGTAAAATGATTTTAAACATATATGTAATTAATACTGAAGATGTCGGAACATAATAATATATTGAATAATTAATTTGCTGTTAATAATTATTTGCTTCCAATAATATACGTTTCCAGACTCGATTCATATCCTATTAATATAAGTAATTACGATAGTTGAGTCTTGTAACAGTAGCAATAAAATTTCAAAATATTTTGTACGCAATGCTCATAATATATCCTTAAAATGTTCCTATCAATATTTAAATATTTTCGTGTACCACTATTTATATATACTAAGTAATTCCATTAGGGGCCAACATTTTATCAACATTTCATTTCTACTTTTCTAATATTGTAGCTGTAAAAGGAAATTTCAAGATATTACCAGAAACATAAAGAAGGTTAATTAACCCTTGTTGTGTTAATACGCCAATCGTTCATCTTAAAAAAAAAGAAGAAAAAAAAATCTTAAAAATTCGACGATGTGATATCTTACATTCTCAAGTTCAGAACGGCAATAAACCATCAGGGAAACGTATCAAAATCGATTTGGTCGCTCGCTTCGTTCGCGACGCGCTCGATCCGCCCTTTTGGCCGTCGGTGGCGCGCGACAGGGTGAAACAGGGGGTTGTTCATTTAAAATCATGACATGGAGCGTGGGGCGCAGTCACGGCGGAGGCGTTAGTATTAACGTTAGGTGCTGGCAGACCAGGGCCACCTACAAGAACTTCGTACACCGGTTTCACCCCCTTACCACCGGTGTGACATATTGTTTCCATTCTGCTCTCGGGCTAAAGCGCAATAAAAAACTGGCATAAATATCGCCCGCCCTCGGCGTGCCGCGACACCGATACCAGGCCGAGCTGTGGCCCGCTATAAGAACCAACAGGCCCCGAATACCGGCGGTCTACAATTACGCGGAAACGTTCTTTCGCACGAGAGAGAAACGACCGGGGACTAATTTGTCTGAGTGGCTTTTTCGACGGTTAAAGGGCGCCATGGATTGCTACCGACCATCTTTCCACCTCTGAATTTGTAATACTTTACAATATTGTTGTACATTCGAATGTTTGCATGGAGAAACGAAAAGATATATTGGATATATTGTGCAATTTAATTAGGGGATGATCTCTAATTATTTCATGATACACGTAAAGATTTTTAGGGATATTCTTTTTATATTGTGTGAGGAACTGATTCTTGGGGTATTCGTGCTAATTCAAGAGTCATGTACTGGAAATATGTTTCCAGTAATAAATTTGAATGT